CCCCCCCCCCCAAAGCTGTTTGTTTCCTGCCCTCCCTGTTGCTGTTGCCGTAGCACTCTGCACGTTTTGTACCTAGCACTTGCCTCATTGTAACTGTATAATTCTGTCTCCTTCACAAGAATGTGGACATCCTGAATTCAGGGACCAAGCTTGCCTTGTTCTCATTGTATCCTCAGCACCCAGCATGTAGCGAGTGCTTCGGAATATTTGTTGAATGAATGCACGTCTCTATGATTGCATCACACCGTCGGGTTGAAATATTTGTGTGTTTTTCTTCCACCAAACGGAGATCCTTCAAGGCAGTGACCTTGCCTTAGTCCTCTCTACACCGCCAGTACTTAGCCCAATACTAGGTTTTTCCCTGGGGTACAAGCAGTAGCGGAAATGAGAAAAATGTTCTTTAGCCTTCTTCCCACGTCTTGCTCGCTAAATGGTCTTTCTTTTTATTGTCACCTTTGGGAAATAAAGATTTCAAACATACAATGTGAAAGAGGGGTATGGTGAGCATTCAGATATCCACCATCTGGATTTAACAGTTAGTAATATTTTGCCATATTTGTGTGATGGACATATGTATGGATTTCTCAGAACCATTTGAAAATAAGTTATACACAAGACTTACTATACCCTAAGCACTTTATTTTGGAGCTCTTAATAATGACATAGTATCCATAATGCTATTATTGCAAGGAAGAGAATTAACAGGGATTCTTTAGTGTAATCCCTAAAATGATCCAATAACCAGGTTCCTTATTTGGGTGTCCTCTGAGTCGTCCCACACTGCATTTTATAGATATTCCTTTTTGCCCTCCAACCAGAATCCGATCCAGGGGGTGGCATTTGCCTATTATGTCCCTTTAGAATCTTCTCATCTAGAACATTCACATTTTTTTTTGTAATGCATTGCTATTTTGAAATAAGAGGCCAGATGTCTCATTGAATGTTTCCCAGTTTGAATTGGTCTGATTACGGTGTCATCATCTACTTTAACTTGCTCCTTTGTTTTTTTTTTTTTTAATATTTATTTATTTATGAGACAGAGAGAGAGCATGAGTGGGGGAGGGGCAGAGAGAGAGGCAGACACAGAGTCCGAAGCAGGCTCCAGGCTCCGAGCTGTCAGCACAGAGCCCGATGCGGGGCTCGAACTCACAAACTGCGAGATCATGACCTGAGCCGAAGTTGGACGCTCAACCGACTGAGCCACCGGGCACCCCTAACTTGCTCCTTTGTACCCTGTGTTTCCTGTAAACTGGAAGTTAGGCTAAGGGCTTGGCTCAATTTGGATTAAACGTTTTGGCAAGAGCACCTCATAGTCAATGCCACGGACTTTTTGTTGCATTCACCTCAGGTGGCTGTCACCAAAGTGATGCTCTAATTTGACTGCTTGACTCAGAGACCACTTGATCTCTCCATTGTGAAGCTGTGTCTCTTCTTTTGCAAGGAACAAGTGATATGGGGGCTTCCTGTGAATATTCTTTCACCAGTGCCCTTCACCTAATGGTTTTACCATCTACTGATCCTTGCCTGAGAGTCAACTCCTCAGGAATTACCAATTGGTGATTTTCTAATTTTATTAGCCTTTGTTCACTTATTAACTGGCATTTTTCTGTATCAGAGAGCCTTGCTTATCATCTGGGATTGAACAAGTGTCCCTCCTAATGAGGCAACATAAATGCTTAATGACCAGCTTTCAAAGAGAGGAGTGGCTCTAATAGTCACGTCAAATATCGTAAATTAGAGCCCTCCTTTGGGGCTCTCCTCGATTCATCGATTTTTATTTGCTTTTTGAAAATTAGTTACATTCATTCTTTTTGATGTTCAAAATGTCCTTGATTAAGTAGGGAGACCCCTTCAGGTTGGCTTCAGGATAGCCTTTTGGAACACGCCCTTTCATTTTTGAGCACTTTCTTGTTTTCTCTTGCTAGATATTCTGGGTTTATACTTGGTACTTTTCCTATTCTAGTCATGGGACCCAGCCATTTCCACAGGAATCCTTGTGGCTAGTATTTTTCAGATACTAGCAGGAGGGTATTTAGAAACCAAGACCTGGAATTAAGAGTGCTAATTTCTAGTGGGGCAACACTGGTTTTAGACCCTTTCCATAGAGCTGGGAAATGCATTTTAAAAAATAACTTAATGTTGATAATTCCAATTCATATTTAACATAATAGGGTTTTTTTTTACTTTTATATTTTTTACACTGACAATCTTGATTCCGAATAACATTCACATATTTATTTGTTTGCTTTGTCTTCCAATGTGTAAAAATGATTTACAATTATAATACTAAATATTAGCATGAAGAATCAAATCACTGAAGCACACCTTCATTTAACAGACAGAAACATCTAGGCTCCTTTCCCTTCGGGATGTTTCTGGGACATTGCACAAGCCATCTTTTCTCTGCTCTGGATGATGATAATGAAAGGCTCCATTTATTAATG